CTGGACATAATTGTGATTGGTAATAGTATAATTAGCATAAGGGGAAGAGGGAACCTGGGGTTATAATAATGGATTTGCCTAAGCTGGGCATGCCAAATACCTGATATCAATCTTCTGACACTTTTTCTTCTATATTTGGCTGTAGTTCTGATAATATCAAAAACATTTTCTTGGGTGTTGTTGCCCAACTATAAAGTTCCAGCAAGGGTTGGTCAGAAAATTGACTGGATTGCAGCTAGAACAATTGAGGCCTCCTTTCCTTATGCACCTCTCTCTTTCTTTTTGTCAGAGTCAGGGACTGGGAAGGAAAGAAAAACAATTGAAAACAAAGCACTCATCCAAAAAAAAAAGAAGAAAGCTAGCTTGTTCACTTTACACTGGCATGAGGTTGCTTTACTGTGCCTGCGTATTTGAGTCGGATCTATAAATTTGTCTTACAAAAAGTGATTTTGCTATCTGTAACTTTTTATTAGTGAGCTTATTTTGGTGCTGTATGTACCTTGCCCACTATTGTGCTTATAACACTCATTTTTGTATGTTGCTACAGGTGAAGTATGGAGAAACACTTAGGCGCTTCAATGCCCGCATTGTTGATGAAGAACTTGATTTGGACATGGATAGATTGAGAGAGAAGGTCCTTGGTTTCTTCAATTTTACTCCTGATAGTGATCTAACACTTACATATATTGATGAAGATGGTGATATGGTAACCCTTGCTGATGAAGAAGATCTGTGCGATGTAATGAGGCAGTCCCTGAATCCCTTGAGGATAACTGTGAGGTTGAACACTGAAACGAGTGGTAGATCTTATGCTAGATCAAGTGGAAGTTCTACGCCCATGAGATCACCTCGAGTCCTGCATCCTATACAAAACTTGAACACTGGTGTTTCTGAAATCTTGAGATCTGTGCCGGAGCCTTTCCGCGAAGCAATCTCAAATATGTCAATTAACTTGGCATCTAAAGCTACATCCACTGCACCAGGCATTGCTGAGCTTGTTGACAGTTTATCAAAGATGGGATTGTCCTACCTGAATCCTGTTTCTGAGTTTCAGACTGGTGCTGAATCTAGCACACAGATTCAGGTTTCGAAAGGTCCTGTTGCTTCAAAGGTTGATGGGGTCACATCAGAGGTGTTGCCAAGTGCTAAAGCCGAGGCGCCAACTTTGGCAAATAATCAGGTGTTGCCCAATACTAAATCTCAACAGCCAACTGTGGAAAACAATAAGGTGGAAGTTGAAAACACAGCCAGAGGTGTGGAGGCAGCAGTTATGCAGACCCCTAGTGTGGACCCTACACCATCCACTGGTTACTTGAATCTTAATGGTGGCCTCCCTGGGGATAATTATCTGTTTGGAAGTGCATCTTCAAATCCTGCACCTGACACATTTCCTGTTGCTGCTGGTAACAACATGGAGGAGGTCCTTTATGTTCCTTCTGGAAACAACAAGTTGAAGGTCAAAAAGCTAGCTGAATTTCATTCAAATGGGAAGTCTGATGCTCTTGCCTTTGAGAATGGTATGCCGGGTGCTACTAAAGCTCCTGCTGGTGACAAAAATAATGAGATTAATAAGTCTAATGAAGGTCGTCTTGGACAAAAGTTTGCTGGTTCCTATCATGATTTTCCGAAGCATTCAAGCAGAGATTCCCTGAACAAAGATTTGTGTGGCGGTGTGAACATCAAATGTGGTAGTGATTTTGGGAACTCTTCTACATCACGTGCTGGTCAGAATCCTATGAATGAGTGCCCTTTTTCAGGGATGCCTTTAGCAAGTGACTTGTTTCTGCCTCCCTCTCAATCTGATCCTCGTATGGTCTCGTTTAAAAGGAGGTATAACCATAGTGATGGCATGGGCATCATTTTTCACAGAGGTGTTCGTTGTGATGGTTGTGGGGTTCATCCAATAACCGGACCTCGGTTCAAGTCCAAAGTGTAGGAATCTATGGAATTTCTGTTGTTTAGCTGTATAATATATTTTCAGGGTATATTTAAATTGTCTCATTTTGTTTCTACAGAAAGGAGGATTACGATCTGTGCAGCATCTGCTTTGCAGAAATGGGAAATGGTGTCGATTACATCAGAATGGACCGTCCTATGACTTACGGGCATCCCTTTTCTTTCAAGGGGTTGTATGATCACCCTGTATGTTGATTTATAATTAGTCCACTTTTTTGGTAGCATTGTTCCTTCAGTTCAATATTATATACCTTCGTCCTAATTGTTATATTGATTTCCATTCTTTGTGCAGTTGCATCATTCTCGGGTGCGTCCTCCAACCATACCACAGGTATTGCGAGGTTGTGGAATGAAACAAAATCGCCCTAAGCTTGACAGTCGCTTCATTCAGGATGTGAATGTCTTTGATGGTACAATCATGTCCCCATCAACCCCATTTACCAAGATTTGGCGGATGAGGAACAATGGCACTATCATGTGGCCTGAGGGAACACAACTCGTTTGGATTGGGGGAGATAGATTAAGCAATACATTTTCTCTTCAGGTAGAGGTGCATATTTAAATGCTAATATTCTCTATATAGTTTGTTGCATGTATGCCTGTGCATGGGCGCCTATTTCTTGATTGATTGGGTCAAGTCTTCTCTCATTGTTGAGATTTGATTAACGCTTTCATATGATGCCAGATTACTGCAGATGGTTTGCCTGTGGACATGGAGCTTGACATTGCAGTTGATTTTACTGCTCCCCAATTTCCTGGTCGGTACATCTCATACTGGAGGATGGCCTCACCATCCGGCCAAAAGTTTGGGCAACGTGTTTGGGTTCTCATCCAGGTTACCCACCATGTGATATCGGCATATCTATGCTACAGTTGTTCACATATGCTAAGAATTATGCTCTCGTGTAGTAATTCTTATCTTTTTCATGTAGGTTGATGCTTCATTGAAGGATTCCACCTGTGAAAGCTTTCAAGGCTTGAACCTAAATTTGCCTCCTGTGGGCAACGGTGCCACAGGCCCTGAAATTGTAAGTGTGAATGTTGAGCCCAAGGCTGAGGACAACCTTCCTGAGCCCGTAAACTCTAATAACAGGGTCACAGAATTAGTGGTGCCAATAGTTAATGCAAACCCAAATAAAGAACAGGAGCTGAATTTCCCAATCAATGATACTTTACTGGTTGGTGGTGGTATACCAAGCCCGGTTCATCCTCAGCCTTCATCGTCTGTTTCGTATCCCATTATTGATCTTTCTGAAGCACCAGTTGTGCCTTTGTCTGCACCATCCCCTGCTAAAGATGCACAGGCGTCTGCTCCAATGGCTGGTGAAAACAATGTTGAGCAGACACTCCTTAGGGAACTCGAGGAGATGGGTTTCAGGCAGGTTGATTTGAACAAGGAGGTATTGAGGGCAAATGAGTATGATTTGGAGCAGTCAGTGGACGATCTTTGTGGTGCTTCTGAATGGGATCCTATCCTCGAGGAGTTGCAGGAGATGGTAAGTCAATTTTATATCTTGTTTCTGCTGTTTGCTGTATCTTCGATTGTCCTAATATGGCTCAAATTGGAACAATCAATTCATTTAGTGTCGAAAATGTGACTTGTGGGTGCAGGGGTTCTTTGACAAGGAGATGAACAAGAAGCTGCTGAAGAAGAACAATGGGAGTATCAAACGTGTGGTCATGGATCTTATTGCTGGAGAGAAGGCATAGTTTAAGAATCTTATAGTAGCTATATGGATAGTATATGCTCTAAATAAATGCAGTGTAGCATTAAACTTTATAAAGTCGTTTTGGTTTTCTGAAGTTCCTTGGGCGTACTTTAGCTTATCTATGTTGTGAAACCAGTGAAGCGTTAGTGCTTCGAACTTGTTCAGTGTCTTTGTTTACATATTTAAGTTAATGGCCTTAGTATGCCGTAGACTGCTGATATTGGCTCTTATCTTATCCCTGTTCCTATATTTACTAGTTATCTTTGTTATTCTGTGTATTCTGGTTTTTGCTGGGCTCAATATTTGGGCACGAATGGCTTTCCATGTTGTTTTATTGCTCCAGTATGAAGTACTTCGATGTAGCAGATGCAAGGGATATGATCCTGGCGAGGGCTAATGCACAACTCGAATACTAAAATTGTTAGCTTGAAAGGGCGTCAATTGTATGCACAACCAACCCTAGCTGGACTTAACTTTGTCAGAGCAGCGATCTTAACCAGTCTAATTAGACTGTTAAAAAATGGGTGTCGCTGAAAAAAATCCTTTAGGATGCTGTAATTTCGGAAATTTGGATGGTGTAATTTAGGATGCAAACCCATTGCATCAACCCAAAGCCTCTTTGCTGTGATTGATCGTGGATAAACTTTTGCAGAGACTTAATCTAGCTTTCTGTTATCCAACATGAGTGTGTGTGTGTGTGTGTGAGAACAGCTATTTACAATAAGAAGCTTTTACACTCCAGATCAGCACATTCCTTTTGATCAAAGTCTAATCACCAAAATTGTCCCGCTTTGTTGAGGTGAGAAAATGCCCAGTGATAAGGGCTTAATGACCCAAAAAAAAAAAAACAGTGTCTTGCTTTGTGTTTTTTCGCCTCTTTATTGTTGATATCATATGGTGATTGTTAGCTTTCAGAGTATTCTGCTTTGACTGTGACAGTAATATGCTGCAAATCATCTACATGAGTTTATACTTATGAAATGTTTACTAGGGGGCTAAAACCTCTAGACTCCTAGACTTATAGCGTTTTGCTGAATTAATGGAGGTGCACTTCAAGAAAGGTAGGGTAGGTAGGTACTTGTCCAGGCATTTCTCACTGAGCGGGGCTTTGTCATCACTACATCCCCATGTTGACAAGATCAGTTGCCATGTGCAACTGATTACTTTATATGGCTCCCACACTATTTATTGCAATGTTCATAAAATATCTCTCTCTCTCTCCTTATTTACTCATTTGTTTATTTATTTTAATTTCTGATTGATGAAACAGTGACTGAAACCCTTCAATGATTTTGTCTGTAGATCAAGAGTGACTGAGTAAGGTTCTGTACTTAAAAAGATTAAAATAAACTCAGACCCATCACTAGTTTAATATAACTTCGAATTGGGTTTGAGAATTTTATCGAAAATTTTGATCTTCAATTGAAAGTCTTCTTGTTTGATTCCCTCCCCCCTGTTCCCCTTTTTGGGGATTTGGCTCTGCTCCTCGTTAATTTCTCAACACTTCTTGGGTTTTGAGCTTTAAGTCGAGCCTCTCTCTCTCTCTCCACAACATGTGGGGCTATAAACTTTTGCCTCCTCAACTGGGAGTTTTGATCCTTGGGCCATGATTTTTGAGATGTGGTGGCGTTGGGAAGATTGCCATGGTACCACTTCAACAGAGTACAAAGCATGTACTTTCAGATTCCTCTGTTTCATGTCAGCTTATCCATGCAGCTTGAAGAACAGTAAGCAGAGCTCTACAATGCATTCTATATTGTGAATTCGTGTCTTTGTTTACCAAGTGAAATTGGTTGATGGGTACTATGGTTGGTTAAACACTTTAAAGAGAAAGATGGAACCAGAGAATCTTTTTTATTCAGTAGATGAGTTTGGATTGGATGTTAAGTGGCTGATTGATCCTCAGCATCTTCTTGTGGGACCCAAAATTGGAGAGGGAGCACATGCCAAAGTGTACGAAGGAAAGTAAGTCATGCTTTTTAGGATTTTCTTTGTGAATTTTGATGTTTCTTGTTCTGTTTTCGATTGTTGTTGGAGTTTATATGAAAATTTGAAGTGTTAATATCGAAAACTCCCAGTTCTTGATGGGCACTACTAGGTAAATGCATTTTCTTGAATGAACTAGAGTTTAAATCTTCACCAGGAATTGTGCCAGGGTATTCAGATTGGAAATTTGAATCTAGTTCTGTTTGAGTTATCTCACTATTTATGCCTTCAGGTATAAAAATCAGAATGTTGCTATTAAAATTGTCCATAGAGGAGACACCCAAGAGGAAATTGCCAAGAGAGAGGCTCGTTTTGAGCGAGAGGTTGCTATGTTGTCTAGAGTTCAACACAAAAACTTGGCGAAGGTTAGCTTTGATTCCAATAGGCAATAGTTTTATGTGTTTGTTGCCAGTTATGCATCTCTTATGAATTTTGGAATATGGACTTATGTATATATCTAACAGAGGTAACTGTGTTATTGTGTACCAACAGTATATTGGTGCCTGTAAGGAACCTGTGATGGTGATAGTTACTGAGCTTTTGTTAGGTGGGACATTGCGTAAATATCTGCTAAACTTGCGTCCGAGGTGCTTGGATACACATGTTGCAGTTGGTTTTGCACTTGACATTGCTCGTGCAATGGAATGTTTGCACTCTCATGGGATCATTCATCGGGATTTAAAGCCAGGTATGTCCTCTATTTCCAACTTTGTGATTGCTCGATCGTTGTGAAAAAGATGGGTAGGTTTTTTGAACCAAAAATGAACCATAGTTCTCTTGGTTTCCTTTGGTTTTGTTAACCCGGAATCTAACAAACCAATGCTTAAACCAACATAATCCAAACACAAAATTAGGCAATCACACAAAAACGACAACCAGAAACAAGGAAACACTACGATTTACACAGTTGGACATTTTCAAACCTATATCCATGGGCAACGAAAGGAAGAAATTTACTAAGAAGATCAAGACCAATGATTATCAAGGCCACTGCTCACACTCACACACAAAACCCATTATAAACCAACGAGTCTCTGGCAAAAATAATAGACTAGAAATCGTATCATATATTGATCCTCAAATATTGGGTACATTGAGATAAGAAACTCATCAGACAACCAAACATCTGGGCTCAAGGCCTGGTCATGGGTTCTTACCTTGGTTCATATGACACTCTGAAGCATTTCAGGAGCTTATGAATTACGACGTTTCTGAACATTTTTATATATAAATTCAGGAAGTTGTTCCTACAGGGTTATGTTTCCTGAAAAACAGTCATTTCCGATGCAATTACAGTTGTAGAAATATAGCTTGGTTCATGTTCTGCGGCTAACAAGCCTTTTTGGCATTTTTCTTTTTCATTCTTAAGTCGATTGGAGCTCTTTAATTTAGCTAAGAGGTTTTTTGTTTCAGGACATATCGGGGTCTTTCCAAATGAGCTATCTTACAATATTCACATTTCATCTTTATTTCATCCCTATTTCTGTTGTTCCTTGTAGCATCATTTCTGGGACTGTGAATTTGAATTAAAATTGTTGCCAATAGATACTAAATCCACCTGTGAAACCGATGATGATACACATCACACACCTATCCTGGGTGGCCTCCAAAAGGATCACTCTCCCTCCCTCTGTGGTGGCTTCAAATCCTCTCTGGACCAAACAAAAAAATAGAAAAGAAAGGAAAAAGAAACTGAGGATCTGACAAGTTTGAATCAAAGTCATTGCGAGCAACCTTTCCAAAGATGATTGTTATTGTATATATAAAGTTGCCATGGGGAAAAGGTTCTGATGTTGGATTCATAATTTTGCAGAAAACTTAATCTTGACAGCGGACCAGAAAACAGTCAAACTGGTGGATTTTGGTTTAGCCAGAGAAGAATCATTAACAGAGATGATGACTGCTGAAACAGGGACATACCGCTGGATGGCTCCTGAGGTATCGTAAATTTTTTCCTCTCTTTCCGTAAAATTCTTTTATACCCTTCACACAACACAACCTGTCATTCTGTATCTACTGATTGGCCTGCTATGTGGTGGTAGTTATACAGTACTGTTACATTAAGGCGTGGAGAGAAGCAGCATTACAACAACAAAGTAGATGCATATAGCTTTGCCATAGTCTTGTGGGAACTCCTACACAACAAGCTGCCATTTGAAGGCATGTCAAATTTACAGGCTGCCTATGCAGCGGCCTTTAAAGTAATGATTTCCTTCTCCTCTCTCTGATATAATAGCTTCTTGAATTAGCTCGATATAGTTGTCTGCCTAAGTTTTTCCTTGTATTTAATCGTCGATTGTTGGGGTTTTTCTGTTGGGTGATTCAGAATGTAAGGCCTGGCCTGGAAAAACTCCCGGAAGATTTGGCTACGATTCTGAGTTCATGTTGGAATGAGGATCCAAATGCTCGTCCCAACTTCAGCCAAATTGTACAGATGCTCCTTCATTATCTTTCTGCCATCTTGCCTCCTGAACCCATGATTCCTTCTCGAGTTTTTGCATCTGAGAACGCTGTCTTTCCACCAGAATCTCCTGGTACGCGCTCTTTGATGGCAGTTCGAGAAGACATGGGGGAGACCCCCAGATCCCAGATGGAAACAAAACCAACAAGTTTCTTCTTCTGCTTCAACCAGTGCTATTAACTCCCCAATTGACAGATGAGAAGCCCAAGAAGTGTTCTTCCAAGGTAGTCAGTGCAAGTGAGGCTCAGTGAAAAAATAGGCCTAATCTCATGAACACATGGAACATGTTTAGGAAAGATTGGGAAGGAATTATACATTACATTTTGGCAATATGGTAAATGTAAAATTTCGACCTGGACTATATCTACATTGAGTTACATGTTATGGGTTAGGTGGTATTATGTATTTTATGTGCAAGGATTTTAATCGGATAGAAAAAGAATGAAAAATTTCTTAATATAATGTAAATGAGCTCATTATTTATTGACTTAAACTTTTATGTGAGTATGAATTATAAACATGTATATTGGGTATGAGATGTCATGATGTGTAACCTGACATGACACGATCATTTTTTGGAATGTGACTTGGCCCAAGGTCGGCCTGTTCCACCTAGAACGATTCGGACAATAAGACCCATATATTGACCTCCTGGTAGAACTGTCAATAGATTGAATTTTTATTTGTCTAAATTTGAATCTGGTAGGACTGTCAATAGATTGGATTTTTATCTGTCTAAATTTGAATCTGATACGTAAATTTAAATTCGTTTACTTGATGGATTTTAAAATCTTAATTTATATCTACATTAGTTAATAATTAGATATTCAATTTGATTATCCGATCCAGTTTGAAAGTTTGGATTTCAACAAAATTTAATAATTTTAAAAATCAACCAATCATTCTATTCAATTATTTTTATTTTATTTCATATCAAGCTCATTAATAATTTTTCTCAATATATATATATATTGAATCTAATTCTTATCGAATCGGATTTACATGTTTTTAAATTCAAATTCATTTAAAAAAACTTGATCAAATTCAACTAAAATATCTTTTATATCAGATTAAATGAACTTGAATTCCGATTAAAATCCTCCATTGACATACTACATCTTAGAGTAATATTCGGGTAGGCGGCAAATTCGGGTGACTTGGGTACGGTTTATGTTCGGGTATGGGTACGGTTTCAGACTACATCCCAAACTTTTGGGTTAATCTCATTTTGCACCTCGAAAGATTGTTCGAATCTCAATTTACACCTTCAAAGATCAAAAATTTTAATTTATACCCTCAAAGATAGAAATTTGTATCAATGTGCACCTCCAAAGATCAAAAATCTCAATTTATACCCTCAAAAATAGAAATTTATATCAATGTGCACCCCAAAGATAAAAAATCTCAATTTGCACCCTCAAAGATAGAAATTTGTATCAATGTGCACCTAAAAACTAAATTGATAAATTATACCTAGATCCCCTCATACTTGTCACTTAATCATTTAGACTTTTTCACATTTAGAATATTACTCCTACAGCTTATGACATTTGTGCACGTATAACACGTAACCCATTTTCATTGATATCTATTAATATAACCGTTAATAAATATAATTTTATCATAATAAAAAATTATAATTTCATATTACCCTTTATTTTATGGGTTTAATATATTCTAAAGTTCAAAATCTAGTTTACCATTTGAATGTCTAATAAAATGTAAATATTTATATAATGTTTTTCATATTACTTTTTATATAAATATCTACATTTTATTACACATTCAAATGGTAAGCTTGATTTTTAATTTTAGAGTATATCGAATCCACAAAATAAAAGATAATATGAAATTATAATTTTTTATTAGGATAAAATTATATTTTTTAATAATTATATTAACAGATATCAAAGAAAAGTGGTTATGTGTTACTCATGCACAAACGTCATGAGATGTAAGGGAAATATTCTAAATGTGAAGGAGTTCAAATGATTAAGTGACAAACATGAGGGGATCTAGGTATAATTTATTAATTTAATTTTAGATGCACATTGATACAAATTTCTATCTTTGAGGGTACAATTTGAGATTTTTTATCTTTAGGGATGCACATTGATACAAATTTCTATCTTTGAAGGTATAAATTAAGATTTTTAATATTTGAGGTTATAAATTAAAATTTGAACAATCTTTTAACATGCAAAATGAGATTAACCCCAAACTTTCAGCTAAACCCTCGAAAAACCCTTTTTCTGAGAGAGCTCTCATTTCCATCGGAAGTTTTGGAACATCTGAGATTGAGAGAGAGTCTCCACAAGCGGTCATGCATCGAGCAAAGAGAATAATCAGTTCTCTCAGACTCGCCAACTCGCTACACTCAACTCAGCTACCCAGAACGAACTTTCTCTATCCTCAGGTAACAACTCAGTTCTCCCACTTTTCTTCTCACATTACACAACCTCACACTTCAACTTTTCTAAATACCCATCAAAAACTGTTATTTTCATCAACACCAGAACCGACTATAGAGCTTGTATTATCTAACGATTGGTCAAAACAATTAGAAAAAAAGTTATCGGAATCAAACCCTAAACTGACCCATGAGACTGTTATATATATCTTGAAGAAATTAGATAAAGATCCACAAAAGGCCTCTGGGTTCTTCAATTGGGTCACTGACAAAAATGGGTTTAAAACCAGTTCTGCTGTGTATAGCTTAATGCTTAGAATTTTTGCTAACAAAGATTCAATGAAGCATTTTTGGGTTACCATTACTAAGATGAAAGAACAGGGGTTTTATATTGATGAGGAGACATATGAAACTATTCTTGGAGATTTTAAAAGTTTGAAGATGGCAAGTGATGCCACGGCTTTGACCCATTTCTATAAGAGGATGGTTAAAGAAAATACCATGGATGAAGTGGTGAAGGAGTTGGTTAAAGTCATTTTGGGGTCGAATTGGAGCCATGAGGTTGAGAAAAAATTGGGGGGAATGGAAATTTCGATGCATGAGAATTTTGTGTTAAGGGTTTTGAAGGAACTTCGAGGATGTCCTTCGAAAGCTTTGAGTTTTTTTAAGTGGGTTAGTGGAAGATTTGGTTTTGAACACAATAGTGTTGCTTATAATGCAGTTGTTAGGGTTCTTGGTCAAGATGCTTCAATTGAGGATTTTTGGAGTATGGTGAAGGAAATGAAGGGTGCAGGTCATGAGATGGATCTTGATACATACATAAAAGTTTCGAGGAGGTTTCAGAAGAGTAAGATGCTAAAGGATGCAGTGGAGCTTTATGAGCTTATGATGGATGGGCCGTTTAAGCTTTCCGTTCAGGATTGCAGCTTGCTTCTAAGAACCATTGCTGCAGACAGGAGTCCAGATTTGGACTTGGTGTTTAGAGTTGTGAAGAAGTATGAGGCAGCAGGGCATTCCCTTTCAAAGACTGTTTATGATGGGATTCATAGGTCTCTGACGAGTGTGGGGAGATTTGGAGAAGCAGAAAAGATAATGGAGGCGATGAGAAATGCAGGGTATGAACCTGATAACTTGACCTACAGCCAACTGATTTTTGGACTTTGTAAAACAGGGAGACTTGAAGAAGCCTATAAGGTGCTGGATGTGATGGAAGCACAAGAATGTATTCCCGATCTCAAAACTTGGACCATTCTGATACAAGGGCATTGTGCGGCTAATGAAGTCGATAAGGCATTGTTTTATTTTGCAAAGATGGTGGAAAAAAATTGTGATGCGGATGCTGATCTCTTGGATGTGTTAATAAAAGGTTTTGTTAGTCAGAAGAGAATAGATGGCGCATACAAATTGCTTGTAGAGATGGTGAATAAGACTCGGTTAATACCTTGGCAAGCTACATATAAAAATCTGATTCAGAAGCTTTTAGGAGAAGGTCAACTCGAAGAAGCATTGGACCTTCTTCGGCTAATGAAGAAACAGAACTACCCACCTTTCCCAGATCCTTTTGTGCCATATATTTCAAAATTTGGGACAGTGGAGGATGCGGAGGAGTTCTTGAAGGCATTGAGTGTGAAGAAATTTCCATCTCTTGCTGCTTACCAACATGTTTTTGAATCTCTCTTTCAGGAAGGTAGACATTCAGAGGCCACAGATCTCCTCTATAAGTGCCCTCATCATGTACGGAAACACAAGGCTATTTGCACTCTTTTTGGTTCTGAAAAAAGTGGCAGCACTGCGGCTGCTTGACATTGTTCTAATACTGTTAGATTTAGAATCCTTATGTTATGAAATATGAATGAACTTCATGGACCACTGGTAGATTATCTTTGTAAATTTTCATGGTTGGTATAGAACATTATTTGGGTTTAGCTTTTGCCTTTCATGGCACTCCCAATGTTGGTCAAGTAGAGATTATGGAGCCTGATGGTGTTGCATTCTTGAGCATCTTTGATGAATTGAAATTGGTGAGAGCGAGTGAGATCCGACTCTGCATCAATTGAAACACTTGAGTACTCAGACCTTAATTCTCTTTGACAAATGCAAATCTGTAATTTATTCTGATTTCAGCATGAAGGCCCTAGCATATTCAATTAATGCACCCTCACTGTGAGTTCAAATGTTGTATTTTTTTTTTAACTCAGTTTGAATGTTGTATATGCCATGTAATGCTGCTCAATATATATGTTATGTACATGTCTAAACTAAGTAACATGCTGTATGTGCATATGTACTTGAGAAGGGGATACATTTCTGTTAACTCTTGTAGCCCAGCTAAGTTCAAAATCCTAGAACTGTGAATTCTTTTTTTTTTTTTCCAACCCTTGGAATCAGAGGGTATAGTCATAATCCTCACTAGATTGAACTGTTGTCAAAATGTTGGAACAACTCCCAGGGAAGTGGCAGCTCCCTAACTGTCAAAATGTCACTTCAAATTCAAAATTTTTTACTTTAATGGGGGTGGCATCAATGATTGACAAATGACAACAATGCTCTTGGGATGACAATTTTTCAAACTCTAGAAAGAGAAAGAGAGAGGTTGCAAAGAATATTAAAATTATATTTTTCAAACTCTAGAGAGAGAAAAAGAGAGTTTAATTATATTTTTTAATAAAAAATATTAAAATGACACTCTATTTTGACACCCGTCATTAGAGTAAATTTATAATTCAGTGATGTTAAAACACTGTTTATGGATGCAAATAGATGATTTGACGCCCTAAAATGATAAATCCCTTTGGAGTTGCTCTTAGAGCATAAACCCCAAGGTGAAGCCAAAAAAGTAGTCCTGGGTGGACATTATAACAAGCTTTAGATATTTTTTTTTCCAAATAAAATCATACATTTATATTTATTAGAATTATTGTTGGCACAAAATAAAAATATTCAACTT